AAAAAGACTATTTTTTTCCCATTTTGTTCTTTTGTTAACCTTGTATAAAATCAATTGACTGTAAATGTGCAGGTTTATTATTAGATTATCAATTTTTTGTTTGTTTATGTGTATTCTTATGCCAGGACTAAATCAAATTTAATGAGAAGTTTTTTCAGTCAGGTTGCATATTACCAAGCTGTCTTATGTCAGAATAAAAATAAAATGTAGTGGGATATCTTTAAGTTCACCTTTTGTGTCTCAAAGGATTCTGTAGCCAGCTTATACCTTACTTACTCTAAGACATTATGGGAAGTCAGGCTTATAAGACAGAGTTTATTTCTTTTTTTCTCCATTCAAACATTAGTCTCTTATCTAGTGCCTCCCTCTTTAGTTTCATTTTCAGTAAATTTTGGTCACAGGATCTGCTGACATAGTCTACCATTTAGTGCATTATGCTTTGCTAACTCATTATAATTCATAGAATTATCCATAGATGTTTACTATTCAGGAATGAGAAGTTTAAGTCAGAGCTGTCAGCTTTCCTCTGTGGAAATCAAGTGAAGTCATCATCTTTCAGTTCGCAGATCCTCTTTCCACCTGGTAGCTGGTTCTCTGATGTAGCACTGTGGCTAATTCTTTTCTTGGTGCAGATCCTGCATCCTCAGAAACCACAGTTCCCTGTATTGACCTCCTTTTACTGAAACAGAGATGCACAGCTCTGCTTTCTAGCTCAGCAGAGAATTCTTAGAATAAAAAAAATTAACTCATTTCAAGGAAAAATTTTAGGAGTGCAGCACTTAATAATCAGGTAATGCTTAGGCAATTTAACAGAGACAAATAGTAGATGAGTGTTTTGAATTTCAAATTTTCTGAGCCAAAGTGTGTGCTATAGAGAAGCATTGTGGTATAACATAGTGATGGGATGGTCTTAACTTTTCCGTACAAACAAGCTTGAAGTAAGGTAAAAGAGAAATTACATTGGATTTCTTAACACTCAAAGCACACTATGTTTATTTTACTTCTGTGAAGATTAAAAATAATTCCATTAAATACTAGATTGATTAATAAATACTTAAACCTTCTTCATTTAGAATTTTATTTAATAGAGATCAGGTAAATGTCTTATTTTGGTGATGTAACTAAATATTTCTAGTTGTTTTTTAAATTGTATGTCTTCTTGCTCCCTAGTTTATTTCCTAACTTGAGGGAAAATTCTAAAGAGACACCCTTGTCTTGTTATTAGAGTTTATAATTGAAGGGGGTTTCAGGAAAATTCCTCCTCACCACCTTATGTCTCTCTCCTGGTTATCTGCTGCTTCTCAATAATGATTGTCATCAATAAATCAATCCCAACATTTAGTAGATCCTACTTAAAGGACACTCTTTTCTGCTGCGTAAGTTATGTTTTCTGTTGTCTCTTTTTAAAACTTATTTTTCTATCAATTACCCAGAGTTCTGTGGCTTAAAAGAAAAAAAAATTAATTTGGTTCATGAATCTGAGGTTTGGAAAAAGCTTGGCCAGGAAAGCTTGTCTCTGCTCCCCTCAGCTTCCCTAGGAACAGCTGA